TGAATAGAGTATCAGTGCTGTGAATGCAGAGACTTGTGCCCACCAGCACCCAGCACTTTGTGTGGCACATCTTAGAGTCTCACTAAATGGTTGTTAAATGCTCCAGGTTGAACTGGGGCAAAATCCTCCATGTGCTGAAATTGCTCCAGATTCCTTGGACAACTACCAGTGCTCAGAGGGAAGAAAATCCTATCAAAAAGTGGACTTTAATCACAATGGACCCCTAACTTATACAGCCTCACCTGTGTAATTCTTAGAATCAATCAGGGATTGTATATGGCTGCATATGCTAAATAAATATACTAGGGCTCACTAAATGGCAATTTTATTTTCCTCACATAACAATTCAGAACTGGTGCAAAGGGACCCTGTTTCTTTCTGTCTTTTTGTCTAGCCATCTGTAGGATATAACTTTGGCTCTTCAGTCACAAGATGGTTGCTGCATATCCAGCATCTCATCCACATTCCAGGCAAGATCACTGGGAAGGGCCAAACAATCAACCAAGCAACCAACCAATCAAACAAACAAACAAATGACTGGGAAGGGTAAAGGGCAAAGGCAAATGCCAACAGAGGTAGTTCTTTTAAAAAGCACTTTCCCAGAAGCCTTATTTGGTGACTTCCACTTATATCTCATTGGCTAGAAATATATCACATGTCCTCCTCTAGCTGCAAATGCTACTAGGAAATACATTAAAAAAAAAAAAAGCTGGGCATATTACCACCCTGAAGAAAAGTGGGGTGCTTTTGTAGAAAAGAAGTGACAGAGTAATGGAAATTGTGTATGTATCCAACAGTGTGAGCCTCTTCTTTTGCACAAGAAAACCAATTTCCTCAGTTTTCAATCCTGAAAGAATGTAGCCCCAAACACCACGTTCCGTGTTTCTACTTTAATCTGGATGGAGTTTTCTGTAGTGAGAACAGCACATACAGAACTCCTGAATGGACGGTGAGAGCACGGACTGCCACAGAGCATGAACATGTGGGACAGAGAATAATTGCAGATGAGTTTTGTTCAGTTGTCTATTTACGTGATTGTTCAAATCAACATTGCCAAGCTGAAATTTCAAGAGGGTAGGGATTGTGACTGCTTAATTTCTGTATATAAAACCCAGGCTGCCTGAACCTTGAGCAGGCAGTTGCTAGTAAGTGCTTTTCATAGAAATGATGATAAATATGTGAAGCTGCCTGATTGCATTGTCCTTTTTGATTAATGTGTCTTTGTGACCCACATTTGGAAGCCCAGAAATAGCTGCGAGGCTCGTCCAAATTTGTTCTGGGTAATTGAATGCAGCAATGTCACAAATGACTTCTCCTAAATCATGCTTTGAGCTTTTAAAAAACTATAATGAAACAATGAATAATCCTTTTGTTCTCTCCAGAGATGCACATAGTACGTGTGTTTCATTCCTCACCCTTGATGTGACTGACCATCTGTGCCACTGTAACTGTTCCACCTGGAAGGGAAAAGACAGGAACTGTTTCACTTCTCTTGCGATCACCCTGTGTCCTTTGTTCTCTGCTCGCCAAATGTAGCCTTCGTGGTGGGGCAGTGGCATCACAAATGTTGTATCTCAAGACCCCGTGTTCTGCTAGACAGGGAGTGAGGTGCCTAGAGGGCTTTGTGTTTAGTGAGTCAAGAAAATTTATTCAGGTTCGGTAATGTACACGAGCCTTTGAGGTAAACATGTAGTCTGTTTTTGTAAAAGGCCCAGCCTTTCAGGCTTCTGCTCCCTTTCCCTTCTCCATGACATCTGGTGTGTGTACATGGGGGGTGCTTAGGGCATGACATTAATAGTCTGCATTCCAGCTGGTCTCTGCTGCAGTGGGGGCTGTCCTCGGATAGTGACCACTGAGATGTGACTGTTCCCAGTCCTGGCTCTTTGGGGTTTGTGACTGAAACCTGGGGCTTGGCGACTCATAGTCACATCTGCTCTTGATTTGGGCAGGCCTCAGGAACCTGCTCTGGACAACCGCAGTGTCATCTGCCCTGGCCACCCTATCCACCCTATCCACCCCCACCCCATTGCTTTCCTTATAGCACTTATTTATGCATCCATCTACTGGTGTCGATTGGCTTTCTCTACTAAAACTTTAAGTCCCTTTCAAGATACTTTACTTAGGGGTCTTCTGTCCCTTGGAAATGTGAACAGTTACATCCTTCTCTATTACTGTCTGCATCTCTATGCCCATCTCCATGCCTGTGCCCATATGCACGCTAATCTATATCAATTAAGAACATGGACTCTAAGGGTCACCTGGGAGGCTCAGTCAGTTAAGCGTCCGACTCATGGCTCAGGTGGCGATCTCACAGTTCATGGGTTCAAGCCCTGTATGGGCTCCATGGTGACAGTGTGGAGCCTGCTTTGGATTCTCTCTCTCCCTCTCTCTCTTCTCCACCCCTGCTCACACACCCTCCCCCATCTCTCAAAAATAAATAAATAAACTTAAAAAAAAATAAAAGAATACGGACTCTAAATTTCACCTTCCTGGGGTCAAATCCTTGTTCTGTTACTGTTAGCTCTATACACTTGGCAAGTTACTCAGCCCGCCTATGCCTCACGCTCCTTATTTGTAAAATGAGGATAACAGTAGCTACCGCATAGGTTGCAGTAAACATATGAGCTCCTACCTGGAAAGGGTTTAGCAGAGGGCCTGACACACAGAAGGCTCCACGGAAGTATTTGCCACTATTTATTACCGACTGTCTTTCCTACTAGAATGCGAAGTCCACAAAGGCAGAAGCTTTGCCTGCCTCTTTTATTGTTATATCTCCTCATCCTTATGTAAAGGGGAGGCCCTCAGTTACCATTTGTCAGATGAATGAATAAATGAATGGATCACGAAATGAAAAGGACACAACATATTCCAAAAACTATTATCACCCTTTCACACTCCGTCTGGTAAGATTTATGTCGCGCTCAAGATGATTTGCTCCTGTTTAGTGTTCTCCTAGCCTCTAGGAAGGCGAGAACTAGTTTTTAGTCATTAATGAATTCTTCTATCCCCAAACTACCCATCCCAGGGCTTCCGAGCTCGCTGGGCAGCCTGGTCCTGGGGGAAGTCCTACCCCTTGGTACTCAGGAGTCCTACTCTTTCCTCACTGAGTTTGGCTGCTTCCCCACACTGACATGAACACTGTTCTCTCCCACTCCGAGGGGAGTGGGAGGGGGTGCTTCAAGTGTCCTGTTTTTTTGTGTGCATCTGTGTCTGTGTCTGTGTGTGTATGAGTGAGGGAAGGCAGATGAGCAGCTCTCACAGCTTATCAGCAGCCATCTTCCCAGCCATGCCTCCTTTCCTCCTTCTACGGATGGTCTCTTCCTGGTTTCTGTCCTTACCTGTCTGGGCTGCAAAGAGATTTGGTCCTGGCGGAGCTAGCTCTCCCCAGGGCTCTGTGGCACTAGCCACTGTGCCTTCTGGACTTCCTAGCTAGTACTCTTGTTCCAGATATGCCCCAGGTCACCCCATTAGTGGTAGGAGTTGCTGCTTAGGCAAATGAACTTCCTTTTTGTTGAGGGGCTTAGAACCCCAAGCAATCACATTGAAGTTGAACCAAATTTGAATTGTGATGAATCCCTTGTCCTCTTTCTGCCGGCTTTCCTCTCTTTGCCTCCATGGGACGTGGCACAGCCCTCTGCAGGATTCCTTGGATGGGGGCACCTGGGTGGCTCAGTCAGCTGAACATCCCCCTTTGGCTTAGGTCATGATCTCACAGTCCGTGAGTTCACGTCCCACATCAGGCTCTCTGCTGTCAGTGCAGAGCCGGCTTTGGATCCTCTGTTCCTGTCTCCCTACCCTCCCCGCATTGGGCTCTCTCAAAAATAAGTTAAAACATTTAGAAAAATGTTTAAAATTGCATGGATGTAACTTTTTTAATGTTTATTTATTTTGAGAAAGAGAGAGAGTGAGCAGGGGAGGGACAGAGAGAGAGGGAGAGAGAGAACCCTAGGCAGGCTCTGTGCTGTCAGTGCAGCACAAACCCAAACTGTGAGATCGTGACCTGACCTGAGCTGAAATCAAGAGTCAGACGCTTAACTGACCGAGCCCCCCAGGTGCCCCACCTTGATGTAATTTTTATAGTAGGAGTTTGTAACCAGCCCACGGGACATAGAAGTGGCCCCCACATGTAGCAAGGGAGGGTTTGACCACTGTGTGGTCCCACCCAAGTAAAGTGTTAGGGCTCCATCGCTTTGGGCGTTAAGGGTCCTGATTCTGTTCGGGGGTGTCCTGGGGCACCAAAGTTGAGTTCCCATGTGGAAGTTAGGTACAGATCAGCAAAGTATTGAGGTATAAGAGGTTTTCTTCTGCTGGAAAAACCACAGGCATCCTGCCAGCCCCTGTTGACAGAAGGTTCTCACCCCACAGCAAAGAAAGAAATGATTAAATCGACTTTTCCATCCATGGGCACAGTCTGGTCTTTAGATGTTGGCTTAGTGTTTAGGTTCATGTAGCCAGAGATGGAGAGAGCCCCTCTTCTCATTACTAGAGTTTTACACTATTAATTACTTGTTTCTTTTTAAAAGACAGTGAGAGACGGATTCTCTCTGGGAGAAAGATGTATAAAATTTTCTGCAATCAAAGAAAAATGGTCATTGGGGCACCTGGGTGGCTCAGTCAGTTAAGTGTCCAACTTGGGGTCAGGTCATGATCTCACAGTTTCTGAGTTCGAACCCCGTGTCGGGCTCTGTGCTGACAGCTTAGAGCCTGGAGCCTGCTTCGGATTCTGTGTCTCCCTCTCTCTCTGCCCCTCCCCTGCTTGGACTCTGTCTCTTCTCTCTCAAAAATAAACAAACATTTAAAAAATGGTTGTTAAATAAAAATAAAATAAATATTAAAAATTAAAAAATGTGTTTTTTTTTTCCTGAGGGACTATGCATCCCTGCTACTGTGAAATATTTCTATTAGAAATTAGAATAATGGTTATTTAGAAGATGTTAACAACTGGTTAACAAAACTGGTGCTTTGCCCTCTGCTGAGTTTTTTTTTTTTTTTTTTTAAAGCCTGTACAGTGGAGAATCCCTGTTCTCCATCAGACTCCTGTCTAGAAGCAAACGGAAGGTCTTCCATGGGGAGCTCTGTGGATGTGACCTGGCCACTGTTTCCAAAAGGACGAGGTGACCCTACCTTCTCTTTTAAAACCAAAGTTCCCATCTGCAATGACATCTAATTTCAACTTTTCTTTCTTCATTTGGGGTCCTGAAAGGGGAACTTCTGCCTTCCTGTAGAAACATTACCCTGTAGCAAGCTTGCAAAATTCCTCAGAAGAGAGAAAAATGTGTAAGTGATATTATAGAACCTGTCATATTTTTGTTGCTTTCTCATATCTTTTTTGTTAGGAATAGAAAATAAGATCATAGGAACTCTGGTGGTCACGGATCCCCTGATGTGTTTTGTATACTTTAGGAAGGTAAGTAAAATCAGGGAAATGGAACAGAGATAGATGGGAGAAGGGACTTCTTATTTTAGACAGGATGGTCAGCTATGAGCAGCTGATCTTCCTGAGGAGATCTGAAGGCAGTGCGGGACTGAGCCATGGGAAACCGGACAGAGGGGTGTAAAGGCAAAGGCCCTGAGGTAGGGAGGTGAGAGCATGGTGATCTCTGGATATGATTCCCCCAAGCTGGGGCCCTGAAGCAGGCCCTCCTCTCTCCAAATCAGGGGTCCTGGCCCCCATCTCTGACCTCTTTTCTTACTCCCGTGCCCTCCCCCAAGTCTCGTGGAAGCAGGGGTCTCTTTCTCCTCTTCTCTCTTCCAGACTCCATTGCTTTGGTATTAGCTCTGTACCTTGATCCTCCCTCCTCCCCACCCCTAAAATTTTAATTCATAAGGCCACTTATAGAAGTTGTTTTAAAAGATGAAATTGTTTCTATATCTTTTCATTTCAGCTATACCAATCCTGCTTCTCTGAGGTAGTGTGAATGCCTCCACCTGGCTATCTATAGTCACATACAAGGCAAAGGCTGGGAGAGTGGGACACAGAGAATAATAGCATACTGCCTTGACTTTTCCTGCTCCCAGCCCCCAGTCGCTGGAGATATGGTCTCCATACCTTTAATTTGTCAGATTTGCCTTCCAGAATCATGACCTGTGACTCAACCTTTTCCCAAAGCAATGGCTTTGTTCTTAGTCCTCATCCTACATGATTTATCTGCAGGATCTGACACTATGAGCCACGTAATGCTTCCAGAAACTGACTACCTCACAACTAACTCACTCATTGATTCAAAGCACATACACTGAGCCCCAACCATGGAGAGGTGCCTATGCAGATGCTGAGTATGGAGAAGAGTCACACACACACACATCCTGTTCTAGGGGGAGTCACAGTCCAGTGGGGATGGCAGCTGAGGCTCAGGGGGAGCTAAGGGAGAGTGCAGGAGGCTTCCCCGCCTGGCCTGTGGTTGCTGGGAAGGTTTCCCTGGACCTCTGAGTGTGAGCGTGCTCTGCTTCTAATTTCATGCAGCATTGGTCTTTCTGCCCATCCTTTCCGGGCCACCTGCCCACCTCTGCCATCTTGTCCTACTCTCTTGACTGGGCCCTTTATGTGACAGCTTTCCTGGCCACATTATCTCTCCATATTGTCTCCCTCACAGATTTTATCTTTTCTTCTGCTTCTACCATAGATAAATCCCTATCCCTGTCTCCAGTCTCTCTTTGGCTCCAGAGTCAGCCCTTGACTCACCTGGACTCCCTCCAGCTCCTTACTTTTGGACTTTTGGAATCTCATTCCTTTTGACCTAGTTCAGCCTCATTTTTGAATTGATCTTGACTAAAGTTTCCCTCCTGCTTTCAAAGTGCTGTTGGGAGAGACAGTCTAGCATAGGCATGGAGCATCCCTGCACGTTCCTTCTGAGTGTGTCAAGAATGCAAGGCCCTGATGGTTCTTCACCCAGGCCATCATTCAGGGTTATGTTTGCAGCAGGCAGCCATGAGGGAGGCTCCCAGACAGAGACCAGGCTTGTTTCTGCTCACTATAAAAACAGTGAATTCCCCAGCTCAGTGTTCCTCTCCCTTAACAGTGTTCTGCGTGTACAGGCATCTTGGATGGGTCAGTTGTGTCATCATTATGGACTCTGGGGGCATAGGGAACACCTGCAAATCAACACAAAGCACTGGCTACTTCTTTTGCCATATGTAATAAAATCTTTGGTCTCTGACCCAAAGGTCTCATGCCTTTTGCCAGCATCCATGGAAAACTAATTTGCAAGCTTGTAAGTACGGTAAAATTTCAGACCTGCACAGTTATTAGCAGGTGTCACCTCTAAGATCCTAACTCCAGTGTACCTTCTGGTATTGCTAGGCAACCAGGTTGCTTCTTATTCCCTGAGTGGCTTTTGAGCACTGGTTTTTCTCCATTATACCCTTTCTCACCATTGTTGGTCTGCTGCAACTCTCCTCTGGGTTTAATATGAGTGTTCCCCACTCATTTCCTGTCTTGGCATTTTGTCCTTTCTCATTATTCCTGTGTAGCACACCTTCTGATGGTCATTAAGGACTAGATTTGAGAACAGAAGGGCCCAGAAAGTCATTCTATTTTAAATGAAAAATCACATGGATTAGGATGCGGCTCTCTGAAACTCAAGCTGAGGTTGAATTTGCCATGAGAGAACTCCTACCTCTTTTTTTCTTTTTAATTCTTTTTTAATGTTTATTTATTTTTGAGAGAGAGAAAGAAAGAGACAGAGAGACAGTGTGAGCCAGGGGAGAGGCAGAGAGAGAGAGAGACACAGAATCCAAATCAGGCTCCAGGCTCTGAGGTGTCATCACAGAGCCCAATGTGGGGCTCGAACTCACAGACCCTGAGATCATGACCTGAGCTGAAGTCAGACGTTCAACTGACTGAGCCACCCAGGCGCCCCAAGAAAACTTCTACTTGTGATTGTAGACAGAGGATTATGATCTAGCCTATAGGGAATAGTCATACTTGCCAAACCTTTTTTTTGCACAATGGATTTTATGTAAGTAGTATTCCACCCATTATCTCCTCTCACCCTCAAGAAATTTGGGAGGTAATCAGGGCAGGTAATCCCAACGTTGTTTTGAAGAGAACCATGACTGGAGGATTAAGTGACCTGCTCAAGGTCACACCACTAGTGAGCAGCAGGACTAGGAGGAGGGCCGGGCGTTTCTGTTGCCTGACTGGGCCTTGCCTACGGAATCTTTATGGCGGTTACATCATTTGGTGTATAGACCACTTTTTTTTTTTTTTCTAACGTTTATTTATTTTTGAGACAGAGAGAGACAGACCATGAATGGGGGGGAGGGCCAGAGAGAGGGAGACACAGGATCCGAGGCAGGCTCCAGGCTCTGAGCTGTCAGCACAGAGCCCAACGCGGGGCTGGAACTCACGGAGTGGGAGATCATGACCTGAGCCAAAGTTGGACGCTTAACCGACTGAGCCACCCAGGCGCCCCGGTGTATAGACCACTCTTAACCACAGAGTCAAAGACTGTGCACACTCAGATGGATACTATTAGTGTTTATTAATTATAAGGAAATCTGAAGTATTTTGCCTACCTAGGGGCAAGTGAAATAAATTATTTTTCTTTATTTAAAAAAATTTTTTTAATGTTTTTTTTTTTTAATTTATTTTTGAAGGAGAGAGATGGAGCATGAGCAGGGGAGGAGCAGAGAGAGAGGGAGACACAGAATTCGAAGCAGGCTCTAGGCTCTAAGCTGTCAGCACAGAGCCCGATGCGGGGCTCAAGCCCACAAACTGTGAGATCATGACCTGAGCTGAAGCCAGACACTAAGCCAACTGAGCCACCAGGTGCCCTGTGAAATTATTAAAAGTGATACTATGCATCTATAAAAAGGGAAGGCATTTATGTATTGATATGGAATGACCACTAAGAAATATTCCCTTCTTTAAAGATTATTTATTTTGAGAGAGAGAGAGAGAGAGAAAGAGAGAGAAAGAACATGTGTGTGAGGGGTAGGGGCAGAAGAGAGAGAGGGAGAAAGAGAATCCCAAGCACAGAGCCTGACATGAGGCTTGATCTCACACGAGATCATGACCTCAGCCAAAATCAAGAGTTGGACACTTAACCGTCTGAGCCACCCAGGTCACCCAGGTGCTCTTTTTTTTTTTTTTTTCTTAAAGACACATTTATTCAGCGTCATGATCATACAATTACAGTTAGTAATCAACAGCATGGGTACAAAAACCAAAAAAATCTACATTAAAACCCTTTGTTGGAGTGCATTACACTTTCCAGAGAACAGAAACTAAAATAAACTGTTATATAATTAGTCATGAATATAGTCCTCGGGTTTTAGCCCATACACATGAATATTGTCTAAAACATGGCTCCTTTGTGGCAGCTAGGCCCTGCCGCCACCGTGCTTGGCTGAGCTCACAAACCTGTTGTAACCTGTAGATTCCCTGTCACTTCTCTGGCTCTCCTCTCCTGCTAAGCTTCATTTCCCGACAGTAATTAAAACCTTCTGCCACTGCCATAGCTACTGCTGCTGCTGGAACTGCCACAGCCACCTTGGTTTCTGGTTTGACAAAGTATTGGCCTCCAGCACCATAGGGCACAGAGCTTCTGCCTCCAAACTCCCCTCCTTGCAGGGGTCCAAAGTTTGAAGATTGATTGTTGTAATTGCCAAAATCATTATAGCTTCCGCCACCTCCAAAATTGCTTCCATCATTACCAAATCCGTTGCAGCCATCCACACTGCCACCATGTCCACCACCACCTCGATTGCCACCAAAGCCACCTCGCCCACTCAAGTTTCCCCCACGACCAGAGTTGTCATTCCCACCACAACCACCACCAAAGTTTCCAGGACCACTTTGACCTCTCTGGCTGGATGAAGCACCAGCCATCTCCTGCTTAAATAGGGCTCTCCTCACTTCCCAGTGCAGCCATTCACAGTATGGTATTTTTGAATGACAATCTTGTCTACAGAGTCATGATCATTAAATGTTACAAGAGCAAAATTCTCTTCTTGCCACTACCTCGGTCAGCCATGATTTCAGCCACTTCAGTTTTCCCATTCTGTTCAAATTAATCTCTAGGATGTGTGCTTCAGGGTCTCCTTTAAGGCCACTGACAGAAATCGTTTTCACTGTTAAGCGGGCACCAGGTCTTTGAGACTCGTCTCTTGA